ATGGTTCCAAAAAACTGGCATTATCACATGGGCCCTGTGCTGAGCAGCCAACCTGACACTGTTTTCCCTCATCCCACAGCCTCAGGGACACATGGGCATAGCTCACCACATCAGCAGTGCTGTCTGTAAGAACATGGATAGTCACCCCAGAATGGCTTTTTACTTCTGTTTGTAAACAACAGGGTTTGGAGTGCGATGACACAGGACAGTTTGCGCATGGTTACTTCAGGCAAACATGAGAGAATGAGTGAATATTATGAGTGATATGAGTTCTGTGGTCATGTGAAGAATGCTGTCTGCTGCAGGCAATTCTGAGCCTGCTATTGCTTCTCCAGTGCTTTGCTATTTGTCACTTCCACAGTGTCCACCTTACTGTGCTGCAGCAATGCTTCCAAAGGACCTTGAGTGAGGTTCTGCACAACAAAATTTAAATCAGAAAAAGTTTCAACTTAAGCATGTCTACATTTAAATGCAAAGTAAACAACAAACTAGAGATGGGATGGCTGACACATATACACACACATACACATATATAGAGAGAGGGAGAAAGAACTGCCTGAATATTGCAGATTTTTTTGATATAACAGCATTTATGGAACTTGTCTGGTGATTAAGGTACCTAGAAACAGCCAAATACATATCCCTGGGAATATTTACTTTCAAACATGACCCATCACATTTGCTTGTTTGCCTGATTGTACGACTGCTGGGATGCTGTCAGTTCTGATAAAAGGTGGCACTGCCCAGCCATTTGATGTGAAGCCCAGGATGGGCTGCCCGAATGTTTCCTTTTTTAAAAAATTCTCATGACCCAAAGTGCCCTCTGTTTTGCCTAGATTTTACCTGTGATAAATCCTCTTTTGGGCCCTTGTGAATGTCACAGAGCTGTGCAGAGAGTGGATTTTCTTACAGAATTCACACTGTGATCTACTAGATCTATAAAAAGAGCACATATACAAATGCATGTATATACACACGTAGACACACACACATACACATACATATATTGGCAGAAGGAAGGTAGCATCAGACAGATGTGAATACAAGGACTGAAGGGCAGAGCAATTTTACGCCATGGCAATCTCTTCCATAGATCATTTGTGCTACATGGGAAGTCTGTGTCATTATCCAGACAAAATGACATGTCTGTCAGATGTGTCTGCAGCGATGGACTGCCCGCTATCATTGCTTCCCAGATAGCAGCTCGATTTATTATCAACAACATCACCACTGCCATAACTCTGCTTCATGCTGCAGCCTGAGTGGCTGTGATTCTATAAGATGTGACACTAAAGTTATGTAACAACAGTACACACCACAAATGGCCTAGTGGGACTTGATATAAGTGTAATCCATGGAGATTTACTGAGGGATTCATGAACAATCCCTCAGAACAATCCCTCAGTAAAGGCATGTCAGCATTTTCCTGTGTTTTCTTGGAGGAAGAGCTAAATGGACAAATTGGTGCCAAAGTATGTCTTTATCTCATAACATTGAAATCCCCAGGGGGAAGTTTTGTTTGTATCCAAAAAATTGTCAGTACCACTTTGAAAAGAATTTCTGTTGCCTCCTTTTTTTCCCTTTTGTTGTATTTTAACTGTGCTGTGTCAGCATTGCTTTGTTGTCTGACTTTGCAGCAAAAGGGAAGGCTAATTCCATCAGCCAATAAACAGTGTGATCCTTATGTAAATTTATTCTTATCATGCTTTTGACCAAGCTCAAAAACCTCTTATACTCTCTGCTGACAGTCAGAAGGCTAGCAGTGCAGAGCAAAGAGCCAGCAAAACAAAAGTGTCTAAGCTGTGGGTTTGAGGTGAAATTATCTTTTTATTTTTTTGGCAGTTGTGTTATTACCAGCTTTGTGTGTGCTATCCCTTACAGAGATCCTGATATTTGGTGTCCTGTGGGAGAAGGTGGAATTTCTGCAATTAATAACTGTGCAGTAAGTTCTCACTCCTCTCCTCCTCCTTACATCACTTCTGCACCCTGGGCTGATGACCTACCACTGAGGATGTGAGCAGCGCAGCCTTTCTTGGGCTATTATCTTACTGATTCTTTCCCAGAGACAATTCATTTTCTTATGGGGAAGATCTATCCGATTTAGATCTAGGAAAGGACAAACTCTTCTTTCTTCTGCTAGAGGGACTATTGAGCTTACTTCCATCTTATGCTTTGCTTGGAAGTTTCCTGGAGGCATGGTGCAAACCTTCTAAACCCTGATGGATAGTGAGGAAAGACTGGGGAAATGTAAATAGCTGCACTAGGTTGAGGGAGGCTCTCACAGTTGGTAGGAAGTCCTTTGGCATTCTGGTTCCACTGTTTTTGGCTTCCTCCTGGCAGAAACACAAATGGCAAGTTGAAGAACATTTCACAATGTGCTTTGGATTCATGTAGGCAGTACTCTTCTGAACTAAACGTGGGAGGGAGGGAAGGAAGATGGAAAACTCAGCCATCTGTCAACATTTTTAAAGTCACATTGAGAAGGGACATTTTTATTCTCAGGGCTTTCGGAAAACTTTCCCTGACAGCACATTTCACAGAGGACTCTTTCTGACAGGGACTGCTATCTATTTAGTGACACATCTGGGGAAGAAGATTGCACTGTGCAGAGCTGAAGTTCACTGCAGGGCTATGAGCAGTTCAGGGAAGTGGAAGATTAGAGGGAAAAGAAGCTTGAAGCCATTCTTTTCACTTGACTCTCACACTAAAGTTCATTTTTAGCTGGTGTTTACTCTCTGGGAATATCCACTATCACTCAAAAAGGTTCTGAAAACCTACGGACAGATTTTCTAATGCATTTACTGATAATAATTAACAAACTGAAAAAAAACCCAACTGTCATGAAGAAAACTAAGCACTTACTTCCCTGGTATTACAACTAACCCTCCCAACCTGCTCTGTCTCCCAGCTTTTTGTGTTTTTCTAAAAGCATGCAGAAGAAAAAATAGTTAACAGAATCATCTGGGTGTATTTTGCTCTTCAGGGGCAAAGAATGCACTAATAGCAATGATAGTATTAGGACACAAAAAACAGACCTTCTCTATTTCTTCCTATATTTACTGTGATGGAGCACACAGTTTCTCGTAATGCATTGTGCATGGATGTGAAAAAAAACCTTCTGAATTTCCTGATGTCCAATACTAAAAAATATTTTTTATGTCAAGAAGGAAGCATATCAAGGAAGTAAAGGAAGAATTTTATTGTTAGTATCATTAAAATATTGAGACATTATTTAGTTTTATTTCATTTCTAATTGTTGCAAAAATGAAGGACCAGCAATGTAGCTGGAGTACTGCTCTGAAATTGTCACAGACACGCAGACACAGACACACACACAGAGTCTCTGCTTCATTTAACTCCTTTCCTTGATTCTGTGCTCACCCTTCTACTGGTCCCTGGTATTCTAGAAATTCCATACTGGTGGAGGTCACAGGGAGCTTTCAGCACCCAGAGTCCTTTGCCAGGAAGAATGTTCATGTTATGAATTCTTCTTTGTCCCTCTAGGATCACTTGGGATAATCTGTATATGTTGATGAGATACTGCTCTCTTCCTACACTGGTCTGCAGCTCCAAGTCACATCCAAATGAAATACACCCTGGGCCACCTCAGTATGTTCTCTGTTCTGTTCTGTTCATGACCCCTGAACCCAGCTTGTCCAGCTCCGGGTTCACACTTCAGCTGACCCTGGGCAATGTGTTTGCAGCTGTGCTCCTCCGTGCCACATGCTGTGTCCGTGCCACATGCTGTGTCCTTCCCAAGGCCTCTGCTGTCCTGCCAGGCCTGGGTGTGTCAGCACTTTGTCACCACGTTGCTTTGTACAAACCTCATTGCACTTGGAGCAGCAGCTTGTCATTGCTGTCTGCGCAAAGGCACGTTCGTACCACACCAGGAGGAGCAAAAGTAAAAGAGAACAGGCACAGGCATCTGATCAGCCAGAGGAATTGCTGCCACAGCCAAGAGAAGCAACATAAAGCCACAGACAGGTCAAGGAAAGTTCAGAGAGGGCAAATGTGAGAGGTCTCAGTTCACAGGTCTTGCACATTCTTGTCATGATTACAGTCTAATTTACTAGCGATGCCAATGCTCTGAAAGAGGGTCACACACAGAAGAGAGAGAACAAGCAGCAATACTTGGTCAGCTTTGTGCTGGAAGTATCCTGGCTTTGACAGCATTGGGTGGGAAGATCTAGAGAGCCTGGAGGCAGGTTCAGCTCTCAATTCCATGTTAACCTTCATGCCTGCTTTCCAAGCTGAAAATGCAAGTAAACAGCCAGAAGAGGAAGCTAATTTTCTTAAACTCTACTTAGAAATATCTGGTCCTGAAGGCATATTGAGAATGTATGGTGCTCTACATGGGGACAGGGGAACAGCAACCTGTGTTCAGGCCATTGTCTCACCACAGGCTCCCCATGCACGCTCAGCTCAGTCACCTGCTCTGTCTGTGGTACACTGCCCACCCTGTAGGCATCTTGCAGCAGGCAGTGGAAAGGTGAGAATGGAAAGCTGGGTCACCAGGGGCTCACTGCAGCTGCTGGAATCAGGTAAGTGCAAAGGCGGATGGACAGGCATGCTGGAAACGTAGCATGCACATACACACAAGCACAGAAGCCTTGTTTACACAGAACTGCGTCCATCTGTCTCTATGTACATGGACCTTCAAATGGCATTTCCAGCTTTTGGAAACTCTTAATATTATAATGTTACTTCTGTCCTTTATGACAAAGATAAGAATAAAATTAGTTGCAAAATCCAAGCATTTCTGGGTAGACTGTTCTTGAAATGTTTCTGCCTTTCTTCTTAGGTGGGATTTCCACTGAATTGCTACAGCCTAAGCACTACAGAATTTTGTGTCCTTGAACTCCTCTTTCACCTTCCTTCCCTCATTCCCTCTCCAGTGAACAGGCTGTTTAAAGCCCTGCAGAAGATATAGTCACAGAGCTATACACAGGATGGCTCAACTGTGCTGCAACATTATTCTGGTGAAGATCATGGACCAGGGAGAAGCGCATAAGGTGCTGTAAGGTCTGCAAATGTGACATACCGGTGTATCTGTGCATTCTGGTAGCCAGCTGTGACCTGCTAGGAAGACAGAAACATGAAAAATGGCAGAAATAAGAAACAGTTAAAAGGAGAGCACTTGTTTAAAGAAGATGCTAATAAGTGATGGCTTGCTGGGAAGACAATGACACCATATGGTAAAGAAAACCTGCAGACTCCCAAGGGAGTACTTCTGCTCCTAGCCCAGCCCTCTCTAGCAGCCCTGCTGGATACAGAAGAGTTGAGTTCCCCATCATCTCAGCTGGTGTCCTTAGTGTGGGTCCTGACAGTCTACTCTCCACACCCAATCTCATCTGTGGGCAAGAAGAGCCACAGAAGGACCAAGAAGATATCATGCCATGGCTCTCCATTCTCAACCAGATCCAGGTAGACTCATTTGTCCTGAAAACCAGTTACTGGGAGGCCACTGTGACTGAAGGGCTGAGTACCAGTGACTCGAGTGGGACTGCAGGTCACAGCACGTGTATCTACTGCCAGCTGCTGGCAGAGAGTGTTGTACCTTCCGCAGGAGAGTGAATGAGTGTGCACGTGTGTGGGGGATGTCTGTGTGGTGTGATTAATTGACAATCTTCAATCTCAACCAGCTGGAAAGTAGAGGGGCCTCAGGTCCGGGCTTCTTTGTGGGGAGACCTATGATTTTGGGATGGGAGAAGCCCATGAGGAGGAGGGGGCTTGTCTGTCTGTGCCTCTGTCTGTTTGAGTCCCGTGTGCAGGCGCTGTGAAGGCAGCTTGAGAGTGTCAGTGTGTGTGACTGCCCGTCCTCTGCGTGTCCATGTGTGTCATGCTGGGGTACATGCTCTGATTTGATTCTGGCCCAGCCTGAAAAGGAGAAAGAAACAACCCCATTCCTCAGCCTAGGCATGGCCCAGGGCACTGGGCTGGGCTCTGGTAGTTGCTCCTGACCGAGTCCATTTTCTTTTGGCTGTGCACTGTCTCCGAATAAAGCAGTACTTCTGTAGTTACCTGTGAACTACTCATGGAAGATAACTCCATGCTTTTGGATGAGAAGTAACAGCAAGTCATCTGCACTCCTGCTCTCTTGGGCAATTGGGTCTCCATCAGGTGGGCCCTAAGACATCCAGAGGATCCTAAACTGTAAAGAGAGAGGCTCAGAGAAGGTTGTATCTGAAAATAAAACATTTTAAAATGAAATTGCTCTATTTGCCAAAGCAGGGGGTTTCAGGACCTCTTCCTGATATGCATAAATTTTAGTGAAGTTAGCCAATGTGTTTATCATTGGAACCTCATCTCTGTTCATGCATGGAATTAACTGCAGTCAGTCTAGAGTCTGATGGACTGAAAACAGAGTACTTGGGAGAGGCAGAGGGTTTAAATTTACCTGTTTTACTGGTCCTTCAGGGTAAGAAGATGACTACCTGCTTCCCAATGGCTGATGTGAGAGAACGAGCACTTGAGGTGTAGAAGCTGCACTGCCATTCCTGCCTGCTGCTCTCTCTTCCCTTTTTCTGTACAGCAAAGTGATACCATGTGGACACTCTAATGAAATTAGTCTGTTTATGTGTCCATTCATGTTCACCCAGACATTGCACAAACACCAGAAATCTGGAAAGCAGTTTTCAGGCCATGGAAGGCCAGGAAGAGATCAACAGAGTCTGAGAACATACAGAAATTTTCTGGTGCTGTCATCTTCCTGAAACATCTGCTGTGAAGTGCTTATGCTCCAGTTTTATTCTTGATTAGCCCTTTTTCTGTGTCAGCTTTATTCTATTTTTATTGGTTAGAGTACAACTCAGAGCTCAAATAATTTCTCAGATTAATAGAAGAAGAGTATTTCTATCATTCAAAACAGGAATGAAAGAAAGGAAATGTCAGCACTTTTAATATAAGGTTGTGGATTTCATGGGGGCATCTGCTTAATTAAAGAATTTTTAAAGTTGTGACATCATTCTAGTACTCTCTTTGGTCTCTATGCGGTAGAAGGAAAAATAAAAACATAATAGTTTTTCATGCCTTCCTGTGCTAAATGTCACTGTGAATAGGCTTAAATGTGCTCTCATTTCTTGGTCGGAATTTTATTTCCAGGCCATTTGAGCAAGTAGTTACTTAGATTTGTCTACTGTCACACAGCATGGCGGAGAGGAGCGGAGTGTTACTTCTGCAGTATCATAAAGAAGTGGAGCACTCATTCATATTCATAATTAATGGCACAAACAGCTGCACATGCTCTGTCTGGCTCCTCTGAATTCGTGTTAGCTTCCTTGTTGACATACACCCAGTGATCACTTAGCTACTGCTATGGAACAGGAAATGTTTCCAGGTGACTCTGCGGAGATTCCCTGCCAGACATTGCACTCCTTTCCAACACAAGCGCTTCTTTCTTTGCAACAAACCAGCCCTGAGGCCAAGCACATCCAGAAAAGATGCTCTCAAGTGTTCACTGTTCAAGTCTGACTTATGAAACAATAAATCATGAAGAAATAAAGATAGAAATTCAAAAGCTGTGTTTTCCTAGTGCATCTGAAAAACAACCCAAATTCTCCCCAGATTCTCATCACTAGGGCAGAAATGTCCCTCTTATGCTTTGCCGCTGTGCAAAGTGGGAAGTGCAGAGGTGTCTGCTTCCATGGAAAACAGGATTCTGGGCATGACACTGGGCCCAGGGCATCTCTGTTAGCTGCAGCCTGGCACTCCTGCCTATGAAAGGGGCTGCCAGCCCTATACTCACATTTCAAGCCTATTTCCTCAGGTCCTCCTGCCAGTAGTGACTGTTTGTGGCTGCTTTCCTGTTTTCTGCTGAACTGCTTGTCTTTATCTGCTCATCTACCAATGTGCTGCCATTCAACACTTCCCCTCCCATTTCTAGGGTACAGTGGTGCCTGCAAGAAAATGGGAGAATCCCTGTGTCAGTAATTCTTTAGCAAAAGGAGTGGCAAGGCACTGCTCTTGCTGGTGCTACAGTTCAGAGACAGTGAGAGAGCCATGGACAGGCTCCTATAATCCCAGCTGCTAGTATCTGTAACACTTAAGTCTGTCTTTGGAGTCCTTTCCCTGAGAGAGCACTCCTGACCCCTATCTGACATAGTCTGGTGAAAAAATAGGGGAGAAGGGAACTGTGAAAATTGTGTTGCCCATTTCCCACCCTAGGCAACATGGATCTGCATTCTACTTCATCTGCTTGTGAAGTTAAGGTTGAAAAGCCTGGTCTAAATGGTCCCTATCTGGCAGTGAGACAAACAGTTTATATTTGTGCTGTTTCTCTAGCTTTACTCTTGTGTTAGCTTTTGTTTTACCTTTCACATCTCTTTTGGTTGCATTTCTTTAATAGTTATGAAAAATTGCATTCCCTTCTCCTAGTTTCCTTCTGCAAAGCCCTCAGCTATATTTGGTAGTTTTCCATATTTCAGTCCCAGATCTCAAGGTTAAGCTATTTCACTCTTTGAAGGGCTGCATGCCTCATATTTACTGGCTGAACAGCTACGGATGCCGCTGTAGTTTTTTCAATTCATGCAGAAGCATTCCCCCTGCTTCTCATGGCACTGAAATTGTGGAATTTTTAAGTGTCTTCCATGTCTTTGATCACATGATTAAATCAAGCAGACAGAATGCATACTTTTGTTGGGATGTCCATGCTATATGGTTCACTATCCAGCCAGTCATGGAAAATGGTTCTCTAAAATGAATTCTGAACACTTTAAACCTGATGAAATCTGTAAAATCTTTTTTCTTCTCTGCCTTTCCCATGTAAATTCTTTCCTAGTACTAAGTAAACAGTTCATGTAGACTAGGGTTTTAAGTAACTTCTTGCCTAGCAAGGAAGAGCAGTAATCTCCACTAAAAAACATCATAGAAATCTGCAAGATACAAGAGCACATTCTTCCATTTGCCATCTGTCCTTTTCTTTGTTTGTTTCTCAGCAAACAGATGACTAAAAGTGCCTTTTTTTTTTTGCTTTTTACTTTACTGTCTTGTTTGCTTTTTAAAAATCTTGAGAAAAGGGCTTTTTTTTTTTTTCCCTTTCCACTGTTCCATCATTTACATCTGGACTCTGAGGTCTCTGGATACATGGATATGGGTTACATGAGTGTGGCTATACAGTATGGACAGGCTCTTCTAGACAGTCCATGCATGGAGAATGTAATGTTTAACACAAAATTTGTTCATTTGGACATACCTGATGTTACCCTGGAGTTTTCATTTACCCCAAAATGTAGATTCCAATTAGCAATAATACACTTGTTCAATACACAGCTCTATGAAAAATGCCAATGTGGTTCAGTTAGTATTCTCTGTAATATGCTGCCTGTTCCCAGTCTCACCAAGACGAGACACACACATGGGCTGGAGCGAGCTCTAGTCTATTGCTGTCTATGTTTTGTGCCTTAACTAACTTGACCACGATAAGTTGTTCAGTGTTCATGTCACAATATTTTAAAGGTTTTAAAGTGGAGTCAAAATCATGTTGTCATGTTGGCAGTTTTCTATAATGTATCCAAATCCATGCCTTGGTAGCAGGCCATAATTTTATCAGCAAATTGCAAAAACAGTGGTATTTTCAGCTGTATTTAATTTCTTCCCCTTATTAGAGAAAGTACTCTTTAGAGAACCCAAACAAATTTCAGCCATTTTTGATAATTTTGAACAAATGGCCAAAGACAGTACAATGAATTTCATTATTAAATTTGAGCTGGCTTGTCTGAAAAGGCTTAAGACGCACACCTAAATCAATCCAGTCTGAAAGCAGCAGAAGTAATTACATTAGTTCCTTTCCTTGGCTATTCAGCCTCCTGTTCAACTATAAAATTGTTGAAACTAATTAATATGGCACAACCATTGATTATAAAAATACCATATTTCTGAAATATGAGCTATAAATATATTTTAATTAAAATTGACATGCCAGTTCCTGGGTCTTAAATGAAATATGATTCCTTATTGCACAAATAGCCTGGAGTCAGGGAATGTTGTGAATTAAGAAAGCTCTATGATAATCTACGACAAAAGGGAATAAATCATAATTAATAATCTCTAGATTCCATAGAGCTTTTTTTAAAAGCACTATTAGAAAAAGAAACAAGATGGGAGACTCAAAAGAAAACTCAGAGGACTTGTAAGAGGAAAAGAAAATGAATTGAAAATTAATATTGTCGATTAAAAACAAAAAGTAGGATAGATAATTATTGCGGGCATCTACCACTGAAAGTAAAGTCTAATCTCTAAGACTGACAATTTAAAAGGTCACAAGAGAGCTGTGGTCCTACAGTTATGGTATCACTTTTTCTTAAATTCAAAAGAGCTATGAAATTCACTAAGGAATACATGTAGTACCCAGTTCAGTTTGATGAAATAGAGTAAGATCTGCTGGGTAGCAATACACAGGGTATCTGAGAACAAATCCTATTTCTCTTAAAGAAGGCCATGGTAAAACTTTTCTATTCTAAATAGGAATGTATTGCACTCTACTGCCTGGCAGAAACAAGCTCAAACTTCCATTGTAAGCTTTTGGAGAGTTTGCAATCATGAATCAAGAGGATGACTTAATCAGCTTATGACTGACACTTGTTATACCCTGGAAATTAATGAGTGACTTACCTCAAAGTCTATGGAAAAACATACATTTTCAGTGACTTCAGTGAAGTGTGAGTGTTTCAGAGGTGAACCATGGTTTGTAGCACATGATATTTTGTGATATTGTTGGCCTATCTAAAACACTTCTGTTTAGAAACAAGAAAGACAAGAGGGGACAATTGTGCTATGACAGGTGTATATGCACTAGGTCTGACTAATACAAATAGCTTAAGGGTCCTCAAGGGCCTCAAAAGCACTGCCAGATTCACCAACAGATCTTTTCAATTACATATCACACTGTGACTTGACCGTAATGCCATTAGCTATCCGATTTTAATCCAATTTGCTGTCACTGAAGACTTCATGCATTGTCCTTCAGGTCTGTGTTCTGAAAGCTCTGACAGCCTGGGTGAAGCCAGCTCTCCCAACCTATTTTTAACACAGTTGCTTCTCTTGCTGAGCTTATAAATTTATTAATAGAGTTCAATTCTTTCAGGCTTTACGTGTTAATGGAAAATGAGACTTACACATCAAAAATCTCAGTTGTCAAGTGGCTGAACTTCAGGT